TGAAATGTATGCACCTTTACTAGAGTCGTAAATCCTCGACTAAAGTATGACAGATGAAATGTTAGAATAATCCCAAAATATAGTTCAATAATATAAGACACTAACGTAGAACAAAGAGAGATTTGTCCCAAAAAATGTGGGAAATAGGGATGGAAGAATGTTAATGATATTTTTAACGATTCTTGTAAAAAAGAGAAAATCCACCAGAATTAGTAACAAAGAAAATAATAACATATATCTTTTTATAGTGGGTTAGAATGTATGCAGTTGATAGCATGACGTATATATAGCGTTCGAGAACACATCCCAACTAATGAATCCCAACGGATTCACTATCGCGCATAGAAAAGTCAAGCAATTTCAACCAATGAATCCAAAAAGACAGATAAATGTACAATAAAAAATAAGAGTGAATAATGTGGTCATTGAATGGAGTAAGTCAAAGAGACACTCCCCCTCACCATGCTTGAAGTTACTATCTAAGACTAAGAAACATTCCATCTAACTAGCCAAAAAAAAGAAAAAAAAAGTTCTTAATCCAAATATAAATAAACATGTTCGAACTTAGGGGACTATTTGTTGTCAACAAAACTATCCTGTGAACTTAACCCCCCTCTTAGGTGAAGTCTAAAATGCCAAGATGATAAACGGGTGGCAAGAGAGAGCGAACCATTCCCTTTTATAGCAGTAAAAACCAATATTTGAACATACGTGAGTAATCTCAAGAAACGTGACTTCTAAACTTTAAATGCATAAACAAAATTAGCTATCAATCCATCACTAAAAAGTCATCATTTGTCATATTTCAAAATGACTTAAAATCCCAAGAAAATATATAAATACTCCTGCTTTAGGTGAAAAAGGAATGCAGTTCAAATATCACACTTTCACATAGTCATTTCAACTCTTACTCTAGTTTCAATATCAAAACCAGTGAATCTAGGAGGAAAAAGCCCTGGTTAGGAGAAAAAAAAATATTTATCGAAATTCTACCATCAACATCCACAATATTATATTACTGTTTTTATCTCCCAAAAAGAAATCAATAATATCTTCCCATGGAGCATGCTCATAAGATTTAAATGACTCGTATAAAAACACTTTAGTAACAAGTAAATTACCAATAAATATAAAAGTGCATTTGATTGCTAATATTTTTCATGAAAAATGTCATTTTCCATCCATATTCTTACTTTTGTACTGTTTGTTCAATATTTTTTATGCAGAAAATATTTTTCTACTTTTGGTTACTTGATCATATTTTTTTTGAAAACAAGAAAAATATTTTCTTTAGAAAAAGTATGTTTTTATTTTCTAACTAATATACTCTCTCCATCTCTCTTATCTACTCTCCCTCTTCTCTAGTGATGCCAATTGGGCTTGCCAACTTGGACCGCTTGTAACTCGGCCCCAAAAAAGCCCGAGTTGGCCAGGCTTGAGGTTTGGAGGCACTGAGCCAAGGCTTAGGTCGAGCCCTATTTCGAGTTGGCTCAAGGTCGAGCCAGCCTGTTTAAATAATTAAAAAAAAGATAGCCACGAAAAAAAAAATTCAATCTATAAAGCTGCCTTAATCGATAGCAAATCTGTTGCCAACACAGCTGCCTCAACTGACAGCTAATCTGTTTCCTTTTAAATGAAGTTGCCAATTGAGGCAGCCTTAACCAATAGCTAATATGCTATCAATCGTTAGTTATATAGCTGCCTCAACAGGCAGCAACCGACAACTAATCTGTTATTGATCGTTAGTTATATAGCCGTCTCAACTAGGGATTGACAAAACTCTCGAACCGAACCGACTAAACCAAATCCGATGGTTCTTCTCAAGTTAAATACTTGAACGGATGTTTGAATCAAGAACCGACGGGTATGGTTCGGTTTTCGGTTCTAGGCCAAGACCCGAAAAACCGAATAAGAATCGAATCTCCGTAATTTTTTTAATTAATTTATTTTAAATAAGTAAATTTGTTAACTAGTTAATTTAGTTCAAACCACAAAATATGATTTTCCTATTTCTAATTTTCAGTTCAAAGTCAATTTAATTAAATTGACTTCAATTTTATCCAAATCTGTTATTCTACTGTAGTGTCATTTCTATCAGAAAAAATCGAATTAAAGCTCTACAGCATTTCTTTTAATTATTTTGAGCTCGCTATCTTTCTCTTTCTGTGATTTTAATAATCAAATTTATGAAGAATTCAACAAAGAGAGACGTGAAACATATAAGATTGAACAACGTTATTTTGTAAGAGCTAATATTGAACATACCATTAATTAAATTAACGTAACTTTGTATATATTAAAAAATTTAATTATAATACGGAACCAAATGGAACCGAACCCGAACGGTTCCGTAATTAAATTTGGACCCGACGGTTTCACTTACTAAATATCCGAAAATTTCGGGTCGGTTCGATTCTCGTTAGAACCGAACCGAATCGGACCATATCCAACCCTAGTCTCAACAGGCAGCTATGAAGCTACTTGTCGAGGTAACATTTATGCCGATTAACAGGCAGCTAAATAGCTGCCTTAAATTGGCACCTATTTAAAAAAATAAAAATGAAAACAAAAATCGAGTCAAAAGCTCGGGTAGAGACTTAATTTTTTGGCTGAGCTTTTGTTTGGTTTGGCTCGGGCTATTTTTAGCCTGAGCTAAGAGTTTCGGCTTGGCTCATTAACACTCCTACTCTCCACCATTTACCTACCAATAAAAAATGGACAATTATAATATTTTCAAGGTTAAAAATAAAATAAATCATACACATTTAATTGACAATTTCCATGTAAATAATTTATAGACAATTTAATTGCTTAGGATTTATTTTCTTTCTACGTAATTTCATGTTTGCAATCAAACGCACCCTAAAAGAAAACAAATTTTATGAAAGATAAATGCAGTATCTTTCGAAAGAAAATACCTTTTTTTGTTTTAAATTTTAAGGAAAATATTATTCAAAATGTTCATAGTTTTTCGAATATTACATTACGAAATTTTTTCTCAATTCTCGACGTAGTGACTCACAGTTTTAATGCGTTACTCATTTGATTAATCATTGCCCCAATCCTCAACTGGATAAAAGTCCAAGTTCGATGGATCTCTATCTTTGATTCTCATTTAAACAATGTTCTCAACTTTTATTTCATAAAATTTTTATTTGAGAAATTTACCTTCTACTTAAATAGCAAGATAGAATATATCAAAATAACAATTGTGCCTTTATTTTTAAATAAGTAAAAAATACAACAAAAATTTGAATAAAAAAGAAAAAATGAAATTCATCTTTCAATTACCTTAGGGATGGCAAAAATTTTCGTTATGTATTCCTCGAACTTGCCCCACCTTTCTAAAAAACCTTGATGGAAAGGGGAATGTCCACCCTGTTGCCATCAATAATCCCTCTACCCCAAATAATTGATATAATTGCAATGAAGGTCTCATACGAGGAGAACTAGAATGCTAGGTTTTTGATAGAAAAAGTTGTTTCAAAAATATTTCAGCAATTTTCGATTGTTATACAAGCCCTTTAACAAATGGTATTAGGAAATTTTTACCGTAAAAAATTGATCGCTATTTGATGGTGATGACAACGGCTACGCCGTCTCCATTGAAATTGTAGTAATTGTATTGATGGTAGGTTGGTTGAAGGATGAATTTCCTTTCCTCTTATTTTTTCATTTATTGTCGTATTTTTCGTTTGCTTAAAGATAATGACAAAATCAGGGGTAAAGCTCCCATATGGTGCCCGCATTGGACTTCGGGCCCATGCCCATTCCACATTTTTTTTGAGAGCCCCATATTTGGAATGCAATGGTGGGATGAACAATGGATAATTGGCACAAAACGTCCTTACCTTTCATTTTTGGACATTTTTGTCTCCACCTTCCACCTTTCTTTGTGTTGAACATCATTTTCATCCATTTTTGACAAATTTACCTCCTATACAAATAAAATAAAAAGAAAAGAAAAAATAGAGAACTAATTAGAATCACGGTCCCAAATATTTAAAAAATTACAAATTAGTTACAAATTTTCAAAAAATTACAAATTGCAACCATGCTGCCACTTTCGCACTGGCTTTATCACCATTTGCAGTGTTTCCGGCCATCGTGAAACACTCGACTTCGACATACTCAGCCCTAGTAAAATTGTTTTACTATAGATAGAATCCTAATTCTTAATAGAGGGGAAAAGACAGAACTTACAACCCAATAAGATAGGGACTGAACAGTTTGGCTGGTCGAAGAATGGTGAAGAACTTACAACCCAATAAAGTAGAGACTCCCCAATATCATTTGCCACTCCAAGAATGGTCAACTGCTGCTGGTTGAAGTTGAGAACTAATTTCAGTGAACGAGAGTATAGGCACTTATGGTTTCTATTTCTACCCAAATTGTAGCGCCTAAACCTACCCATGGTGGCTTGCTAACGACACCATTCTTTTTGGAAGAGTGTTTTTTTTTTCAAGGAATTCTTCTTGTTACTTAACTCAACACTGAAATAAAGGGTTTGCACATGAAGATTCTCCAAAAGGGTATAAACGAAAAATAGAGAGTGCCTATACTGTTCCTCTGTACTTTTTGAAGAGAGTGTCCCAAAATTTTACAATGGTTGCAATCAGTTCTCTATTTTTTTTTTGTTTTATTTGAATAGAAGGGTAAATTTGTCAAAAATAAATGAAAAGGACATTACCGCAAAGAAAGGTGAAAGGTAGGGGCGAAAATATCAAAATGAAATATAAGACCGTTTTCTACAATAAATTTGAATTTTGAAATAGTAAATTGATGGAGTATCTGTGGTTGGGAATATATATGTTATAAAACAAAGATTGAGAACAAGATTAATTCGAGGGTCAAAGGTTGAGGACCACTAGTGTAATTAACTAATATAAATTGAGATTTCATTTCGCTGGAAATTCAATTAGCGCGGTATTTTCTTCTGGGCGGCAACATTCCCGCCCAAATCTCAACACCCATGGAATCTACTATAAATCACACCAGAAAACCCACATTTCTTTGTCATTCACAGTCATATCACAAATTCACAAAATAGTTTATACACGTTCGGCAAGCATGGTTGTGGCTTTGGGTCCTGGAAAATTCTACGGAAGCAGCCTGCCGAGGCCGCGATTCTACACAGATGTAAAGCTGAACGATGAAAGGGTGGACCCACCGGCTACAGTCATGGATCCTTTAATCTCGTGGGCTGAGGAGGCTCACTGGTCCATGGGTGGACTCAGCTTCAAGCGCCACCGTCTCCAGGGCCGGATTGAGGGTAATGTGATCAAGCTCCGTGCTCAGCGTGAGATGAGCTTCAAGAAATCTCATAATTCTGCTGTGTCTCACCCTGAAAAGAGTAAAAATGGGAGAACGCCGTCGCCATCCCCGCCTCCGGCTCCGGTGGCAAATAAGAGGAGGCGTGTTGTCGGTTTGGTGGACGAGGATGAGGGCGAGAAAGAGGAGGGGTATGGATCTGGGAGAGAAATCAAGAGAGGGGCAGTGAGGAAGTTGGGTGATGATTTTGAGAGGGTAGCACGTGAGAGTGGGATGAGAAGCAAAAAAGCAAGTCCGGCAAAAAAAGTTACCGTCGGTGGCGGTGATGTCTTGACGGCAATGACAAGGAGTAAGAAGAAGGAGGTTATGAATGAAGAAAAGGCTAAGAAGGGGAAAAAGCTGGTAAAGGGTGGAAAAAGTGTTGGTGCTGCGGTGGTGACTGCTGCCACTTCTGGGCTTAGAAGCTCGCCTCGTCTGGCGGCACGGGGTTGATTGATGTCAAAGTGTTTGATGAAATTCCTCAATAGGATGAAGCCGTAGGTCCGTAGATTATTCTGGGATTTATTTATATTTTGCTTGCAATTTTACTTTTTGTTCTTTTTCATTCTGAGATTCGTAATGCAAAATCATTGCAGCTAACTTTTGATGTAAATTGCTTGATTGGGAATGAAAGATTAATTTACTTCTGTGAACTGAAATATTATATTTTGGGATTGAATCTGTATTGTAATTTTTGGCTGATGATTGCAATCTAGAATTGGAGTTTTGAGTTCTTTAAGTAGATCTCTTTGCTTTCACTGTTTCTTTATTCTATAAAATACCACCAAATATTTGAAATAAAACTTCACGATTGACATCAACTAATTGATACAAAAATAAGGCTACAAATCAAAATGGAATTTCTAAATTTACTGTGAAGGATGTCCAGTATTTGAAGAACCAAAATCCTGTGTTCAAAACATTTGTTACAGATCTTAAGAGTGCGACTTAAAAAACCAATCCTTAAGAAGAATTTAGAAGGCGTTTGAGTGTCAATAATGTCATTTTTTAATTAAAATTTTTACTTTTGTATTATTTGGTTGATATTTTTTTACATGAAAAATATATATATATATTTTTTTACTTTTGGTAATGTGATCATATTTACTTTGAAAACAGAGAAAATATTTTTGTTTCTTTCTTGTGTACTCCCTCTATCTCCTACATACCACCAATAAAAAATGAATAAGTGTAATAATTTTTAAATTGAAAATAAAAATAATCAAATACGTTTAGGACCTGTCTGGAGGCAATTTTCCTCTGGTAAGTCGTAGATTTTTGACCTTTAGAGGTTGTAGGTGGGGAGGAGTGGTCAACTTCTGTAGCCCCAACAGTTGATTTTCAATTTTAATCCAAGGAAGAAACGACTCCAAACAAGCTCTTAAATGACAAGTTTCATGCAAATAATTTTTAGACAATTGAATTATTTAGAATTTATTTTTTTTCCATATAAATTCCATGTAATCAAAACACAACCTTAGAGTGAGATTTGAGTTGGAAGTATAACGATTTCGAGTCTTTTCTTTGATGCACTACAACGTGTGCTTTAGGCTTCTTAATTTTACGAAACAAGTTCGAAGAGAAGAATTGCATATCATTAAACAAGGAACAAGTGGGTCAAATTGCATATACACAAAAAGCTTATGAACTACAGCAATTTTGTAAGTTTTTCTAGCTAGGCAATTCTTGCTCGATAGATGTATTTCGTAGTTTTGAAACTCTCAAACCATAGGTAAGATAAGATGTATATCGTTTTTCAAAATCAATAAAAATGTGTAGAACAATGTGTTGTATGAAAAATAGAACCGGTGGCCCAAAAGTTGGCCTATGCGACCGCGTAGGCCAAGAGGACTAGTGGTCGCATAGGCATTTGCAGGGCCTAAAGGCCCTACCACTAGTAGTTTTATGTGGTTGCATAGGTTTGTTCTATGTGTTCTATATGGCCCCATAGAACAAACTTATAGTTGTTAATGGTCGCTGTTATTTGAAATTTTGGTGGTTTTTCATCTGCTTTTGGCACCACTTCGTGGAAGACTCATTGAAGCCTATAAATATGTGATTAAGGTTCATTATTACATATATGAAAAACTAATTTTGTGATCATAATTTCATTCTACAAAATAAAAGCTCTTTCTTAATACCATATTCATCCTTCTTCGCGTTGTCAAGTTTTTTGGGGATTTTACTTGGTGCTTGAGTGATTAATCTTTATCAATGCTTGATTAATCGTGCAAACTGATTGTCGCTAATTCCTTTAAGGACCAAATTTCAATCCGAGGAAAGAATATCATTTGAGGGCAACGATTACATGGTGGAGCCTTTTTCTTTAATTTCTTCTTGTTATTTGTTTTCGTTTCTTCTCCACTCCCTTCTTTTTGTGAAGAAATATTTTTAACAATCTCAAATGATATTTCTACAATGGAGAATGAAAGTACTATGGCGACGATCAAGTTAATGAATCTAGACCTTGTTCGTTTAGATCGTTTTGATAGCACTAACTTCACAAGATGGCAAGATAAATGGAAGTTCCTACTAACGACGTTGAAGATATTTTACATGATTTGGAATTGGCACCACTACGGGATTCAACAAATGGAAAAACGGATGCCATAAAAGCTGAAAGACAAAAACGTCAAGAAGATGAACTTATATGCCGTGTTCATATTCTCAATGCATTATCCGATCGACTGTATGATCTGTACACCAATACGTCCTTGACAAAAGAAATTTGGAATGCTTTGGAAAGCAAGTACAAAGTTGAAGAAGAAGGTACTAAGAAATTTTTAATTTTAAAGTACTTTGATTTTAAATTTCTTAAAAATATTCCCCTTCTTCCTTAAATTCATGAATTACAAGTCCTTGTCATCAAGTTGAAGGTGGTCTAAATTGAGATTTCGAAAACTTTTCAATTGGGAGTAATTATTGCAAAACTCCTCAGGACTTGGAAATGATATTGGAAAAAAATATGTATAGTTTCGAAGATTATTCTTTGGAACAATTACAGAAACTCGTTCGAATACGGGAAGAGTCTGGGGCAAGAGATAATAGCAACAATTTTTATGAAGGCACTTCAAAGGCTAATGCTGTGAAGAAGACTAAGCCTTCTAATAAATCCAATAAGAGAAAGCCTTCAAGGAATTTTAATAAGTTCAAGAAGTCCAAAGGTAGTTGTTTCGTATGTAGAAAACCTGGACATTATGCAAAAGAATGTAGGCACCATAAAAAAAAAATTCCAAAGAAAAAGTAAACTCCATCAAAGAAGATAACATTGTGCCTACCTTAAGTGAGACCAATGCTATTAAAGGAAAGTTTCTCGATCTGTGTTACAATACATATGTGATCGTACATGTATCATATGATAAAATCGTTGTTCAAAACATACTATGAAGTGGATGGAGAGCAAGAGATTCAAATGGGTAACGAAGTTCGATCCAAATTAATTGTAAAAGGAAATGTAGAAATCTTTTCTTTCGACAAGACCGCTAGATTATCCAATGTGTTACATGTTTCTAACATGAATTGGGATTTGGTTAGCTATAATCTCTTAGGAAAATTAGGCAAAAAAGGTGTTTATGAGTTGGGGTAAACTAGTATTATCCCTAAATGGAAAATTTGTTGTTAAAGGCTATTCTTGTGAAGAAATGATCAAGTTGTGTATAGTTGACAAATTGATTAATAATAATATTGATTTTGCTTATATTGTTGATTCATTTACGTTATGGCATGTCAGATTAAGTCACATAAGTAAAAGTACTATCAAAAGAATGTTAAAATGTGAATTAATATCATATAATGAGAATGATACATTTAAATGTAAAAAAATGCCTAGAATCTAAGATGACTAAGAAACTTTTCAAAGTGTAAAAAGAACTAATATATTAGAATTAATTCATACAGATATATGTGAGTCAAATGGCATGTTGACTAGAGATGGAAATAGGTATTTCATTACCTTTATAGAAGATTGTTCTAGATACACATATGTTTATTTGATGAAATATAAACATAAAGCTTTTGATATGTTTAAAGCATATAAAAGTGAAGTAGAAAATCACCAAAGTAAGGAAATAAAAATTAAGAAGTGACGGAGGAAGTGAATATTTTTCTAGTGACTAACTTTTTTCATGAACAACAAGGCATAATTCATCAATGTTCTACACCTAGGACATCCGAACAAAATGATTTGCCTGAAAAAAGTAGAACTTTAGTTGAAATGATATATGCTATGTTAATCGACTCTAAGTTGCCATTTAACTTGTGAAGTGAAGCATTATTGAGTGCATATAAAATATTAAAAATGATTCCTTATAAATTTACGAAGGTTTCTCCTTATGAATTATGGAAAGGGAAAAAACATAGCATTGGATACTTCAAAGTGCAGAGTTGTCTTGCTTATTGTAAGAATCCGAATCCTAATAAGACCAAGTTAGGTCCAAAAGGCATAAAATATACCTTTGTTGGATATGCTAGCAATAGAAAATCATATAGATTATTAAATTTGGAGACTAATGTAATTATTGAGTCTAGTGACATAGAGTTATTTGAGAATTCACTATTATCGGATAATGAATTAAGGAAAACTCTTAAAGAGATCTTAAACTCTAGTACAACACAAGGTGAAACATTTTCTAAAGATGTTAATGAATTTAATGAACCTTGAAGAAGTAAAAGAAGTCGAATTAAGAAGTCTTTAGGACTGGATGAAATCGACTCTCAACTCATTTCCATTTACTTGGTAGAGGGAATTGAGAAGAATATTGTAAGAACAATTGATTTTGTTCTACTAGTGAAAACCGATCCCAAAACTTATAAAGAAGCTATGACTTCTCGTGATAACATCTTTTAAAAAGATGAAATAAAAGATGAAATGGATTCAATTATGTCGAACAATACATGTGAACTTGACAATTTACCACACGGATCTAAACTTATTTGATATAAATGGGTGTTTAAGAGAAAGTATAATGTTGATGGCTCTCTTAATGTGTTTAAAGCTAGATTAGTAGCTAAAGGTTTCGACAAAAGGAAGGAATAAACTATTTTGATAGTTATGCACTGGTAGCTAGAATAACATCAAATAGGATATTATTTACATTTGTTTCGATGCATGACTTGTATATTCATCAAATGGATGTCAAGACGTCATTCCTGATGGGATGAGGAGGTTTACGTGGAACAACATGAAGGATTTTCTCTACTCGAAAATGAATATAAGGTATACAAGTTAGTGAAATCATTATACGGTTTGAAGCAAGCTCCTAAGAAATGGCATAAAAAATTTAACTTGCTATCGTATCATTTGGTTTTAAGCATAATAATATAGATAAATGTTTGTATTCTAAATTATGTGATATTTATTTGCCTATATGTTGATGATATTTTGATTATGAGTAATCACATGAATGGGATAGAAGAAACAAAGAGGTTTTTATCTTGGACATTTAAAATGAAGGATTTTGGACAAATGGATACAATTTTGGGTATCAAAGTTACTAAAACTAATGGGGTTATAATTTAAGTCAATCACATTATAATGAGAATGTGATAAATAAGTTCAAACATTTGAACAAAAAAGAATTTAGTATACATATTGATTCACGTTCAAAACATGAAGAATGATTGAAGGATAGTTGCTCAATTGGAATATGCAAGTATTATAAGAAGTCTAAAGTATGCAGC